TAGGTCGGGTGAGTTTGAATCAATTTAGTAAATTAAAATATAATTTTATTTTTATTTTTAGATGATTGTCGTAGGGTAATGTTTGATGAGCTATGAAATTCGTTCATTAACTATATTGGTTGAATTACGTTTTACATGCGAAAGGGTGCTCATTAGTTTTGATGTGGTTGAATATGTAGAAAACGGGTAAGTTTAGATGATTTTCGATGAAAAATTGTTTCTTTTGTTCATTTTTTAGGTGGAGAAGGCCGTTATATTTAGCTTCTTGATGGTTTGGTAATGATGCGACGAAGTGCATCTGGATAATTAAAATTTTTCTCTAATTTCCGTGTTGCTGACCTTTAATGTCTGTTCTAGTTATTTTTTGGTGCGAATAGATTCACAGCAGAACCTCATTGAATGTCTGTGGCCGCTGTGAATGCCTGTTGCTGCTGGCAGAGAAGTGATGGATTTCTGTCTAGGCTAGTTTGGTAGAGCTTTAACCGCATTCGGAGACCTTTTCTTTGGGTTTCCAAAGAGGTATTTGAGGTTTAGCTATAATGGGTACTATGGGTTTCCGAGACCTCGGAAACCCTTCTTCGGAAACCCTTAAAGAGTTTCCTATAGTAACAAACTCGGAAACCCTCTAAGGGTTTTCGATAATACCTATTTTTTTTAGAGTGTAGTTCACGCAACGTGGGCTAGAGTTATCTTCCTAAAAGAGTTTCACAATTAGAAAGACGACATCAGATAGCACTCTCCTAAACTCTTCGAATCATTATTTACCTAGAATGGTTCTTTAGATTATCTACAACCTTTGAACGTTTCTTTAAAAGCAAATAGAACCTTAAAAAATTCAGCATCTTTGCTAAAAATGTTTTGATGGTTCACTATTATGTCTTTTGCCGAGTGCAGGAGTGGGAACGTACATGTGATGGTGTGTGTGTTGGTATTGCACAAAAAAGACTCACACACATTCCACATCCACATTCACACCCTCTTTTCTAACAGTTTTTTAGAGCTTTTTTCGCTGATCACTTTGGCAAAAAGATGTCTTTCAATTTGATTGAGAAACGACACTATTATAATCAAAATACTAAGCACGATAACATGGCTGAAAACGCGATTTTATCCTCATATGTAAGCATAAAAGGTCGATTCGCATATCCCAAAATTGGTACAACCGGGAGAAATGTGATATAATAGCTTTTGTAGAGGAAAGTTTGCTGTACAAGATTCTGTAGTCGGTTTCTCATTTACATTCGAATAGTGTGAATAAATCTCGATGTGATATGGGTGTGGATGTGGATGTGGATGTGGATGGAGGTGTGAGTGTGGATGGGGATGTGAGTGTGGGTGTGGGTGTGGGTGTGGGTGTGGGTGTGAGTGTGAGTGTGAGTGTGAGTGTGAGTGTGAGTGTGAGTGTGAGTGTGAGTGTGAGTGTGAGGGTGAGTGTGAGTGTGAGTGTGAGTGTGAGTGTGAGTGTGAGTGTGAGTGTGAGTGTGAGTGTG